TAGCTAAAATAACAATTTTAGAATAGTGTATTGCATGTATTGCTAATTCTTTCACTTAGAAGTCTTTTTAACGGATGGCCAATGTTTGAACTCGCCTTATTGATACTTGTCAGACAAATATCTAATAGGCTAGTGTCGGTTGGTACAAAGTAACAACTTAGTCAAATATCGAATATGATGCTTAATATGAGGTAAAGATAATATTTTGTAAATCAACACACGTACTCGGACCAAGGTGCGGAGTGAAATTCTCTAGATGTCAGACCAAGGATTTAGAGATACCTAACTTATCACTTCGCATGCAAGATACTAGGAAAGGATTGTTATACCTAGAATTACCAAGTTAGGAGCCTGTGGGGAACACTTACGCCCTAGTTACTCTCATTACTTGATTAAACTCCAATACTTGAACCTGTCACTTGTTTACTTTAATTTAGCTAATTGCTTTTATTAATCCAAACCCCCTTTATTTATTTGTTTTCGGGAAATAATTGACTAAATAGAAGTAAAGTCTTAACCATTTTCCTCGTGGGAACTATCCCAATCTCACTAGTTGGGTTCTTTACTTGATGCGACCGCTTTTACTTCTTTTTGAGAAGCAAATTGGAGCATATGAAACTTTGGCGCCACTGTCAAGAAAAGTGGCTTTTAGATGTTTAGTCAACATTTTCCTAATTTCACTTTTTGTTTTTGTTTTTGTCTCCTACAGGTCTAACTTCCTTACATGCCGAATACACGGAGTAGAGGAATACCCGTAAATTTAACCTGACCCCGAACTTGAGCATACTTTAAGAAGACAGAATCAGAATTTAGGCATCCAAGGTGAGGAGGTCGACCCACAAATTCCACCATTGGTTGATGCTGGTGACCCTTATTACCTGATATTCGTGGAGAAGGTGAAATAACAAGACAACCTTCATCTCTATGCCCTCAAGAATAATATAGGAGCTATGAAAATATCGCAGACTCTGATGGGCCACTAGTCTTCCCCCCTCTACCACACGACCACACTTTTATGGTAACTAGTAGTCTGATGCAAATAATCACTGCTAGATGTTTATTTTCAGGGCTACCCTCTGAGGATGCACATGCCCACATCTCTAAGGTAAGGGCAGTGTGAAAAAGTTATGTAGGGAGGCCCGATTTGAATATGGATGTAATCGGGCTAAGAGTTTTTCCTCTCTCACTAACGGGAGAGGCTGCGATCTGGTTTACTGAGCTCCCCTATAACTATATCTTCACTTGGAATCAACTGAGAGATGCTTTCTTAGCTAGCTACTACCTGGTGTCTAAGAAACTAAACCACAAAGACTGAGTGAACAACTTTGTGGCACTACTAGGAGAGTCAGTTAGCAGTTCTCGGGATTGGTTCACTTCATTCTTGCAAAGTGTCCCAAATCATCGCATAGATGATGAGTCTCTGAAAGAGTATTTCTATCGGGGACAAGATGATAATAACAAAGCGGGGTTGGATACAATATCAGGTGGTTCTTACGGGGAGCATCCTTATTCCGAGATTGTTGAAAAGTTAGAGAAAATTTCTCAAAATAATAAAGCTTGGAGTACTAGAAAGTCAGATACTGGGAGAAACACATTCGCAGTCCAATCCGCACACAACTCAGTCGCAGATGATCTTCCTGAGGAGATGTCTCAAATGAGAACTGAGCTTGGGTTGGTATTGAAACATGTTGATGGGGGTGCGGAAAAGGTAAATGCGGTGAGGTAATTGTCTAAACCACCACCACCAAATCATGAATATTACTATGAGGAGGACTCCTATGCATTGAATGATCAAATAGGGGATTTTTGACCGATCGCCCAAGGCTCCAATCAGGATAATTGGCGCCATGGCCAAGGAAACCAAGGTCAAAACTATGGTAATTATAACCGCTAGGGTCATTATGTCCAAGATGGGAATTACAACCGCGACAACAACTTCAATCGGGGTAACTATGGTAATAGAAATGATAGGCCCAATTGTCTGCAACTGTGAACACACGGCAATCGGCACTCTTCCTAGCAACATTGTCCAAAATCAAAAAAATGATGGGCATTGTATGTCTATCACTACTCGGGGTGGTAAGCAAACCATTGATCCACCTAAGTCGTCTGGTGTAGAAAAGGTGATATGATATGATGATACAGTGGTGGAGGTTAGTGGTGAGTTAGAAGATAAAATGGTAAAAGATCTTGAGGTGCCCCAAAAAGTGACCCCCATGCCTATACCACCACCTCCTTTCCCACAAAGGTTAGTAAAAAAATGAGTATGGTAAATATCGGCATTTTATAACGATGTTAAAATAGCTTTCTATCAATGTCCCTTTCATAGAAGCTCTTGAAAAAATGCACGGTTATGCTAAGTTCATGAAAGATTTGGTTACAAAGAAAAGATCAGTCACTTTTGAAGATGATGATAGAATGCAGCACTGTAGTGCCATTGCTACAAGATCTCTAGTGCAAAAGAAAAAAGATCCGGGTAATTTCACTATTCCTTGTACAATCGGGTTATTACATTTTGCAAAAGCATTATGAGATCTTGGGGCAAGTATAAATCTCATGCCCCTATCGATTGACAAGAAGTTGGATTAAAGTAAAACAAAGCTCACTGCAATGCGGCTACTAATGGCCGATCGAAAACTAAAAAGGCTCATTGTTGTACTCCACGATGTGCTAGTAAAAGTGGAGTCATTCATATTTCCGGCCGATTTTTTTACTCTTGATTGTGAGGCCAATTTTGAGGTGCCTATTATTATTTGGAGGTCATTCATTGCTACGGGTAGACACTACTAAAAAAAGGCCAAAAAGAGACCTTACGAGGTTTCTTTTCGAAAAAAAAAGAGACCTCAACGCTAGGTCGGTAAAATGCAGGTCACTTTTTTACAGACACCTCATGAGGTCGCCAAACGGAGACCTCACGAGGTCAACAACAAATAATCTGATTTTTTACAAAAAGGAGAGACCTCACGAGGTCACTATTGTATTATTTAATTTAATTTTATATTTTTTATATAGAGACCTCATGAGGTCACAATTTTATAATATTATTTAATTTTATATTTTAATTAAGAGACCTCATTAGTTCGCTAAGATATTATTTAATTTAATTTTATATTATTTTAAAGTAGAGACCTCATGAGGTCTCTTTTCTGCATTTATATTTGGAGACCTCACGAGGTCTCCATTATGATATTTACGGAAAATATAATGCAGAAAAGAGACCTCATGAGGTCTCTTTTCTGCATTTATAAAATGTTAATTAGAGACCTGATGTGGTCTCCATTTTGAAATAGCTGAAAAAATTAATACAAAAGGGAGACCTCATGAGGTCTCTCTTCTGCATTTATAAAATAGAAAATAGTAAATAGAGACCTCATGAGGTCTCTAATGTGAAATATCTAGAAAAATTAATGCAAAAAAGAGACCTCATGAGGTCTCTATTATGAAATATCTGGAAAATTAATGCAAAATAGAGACCTCATGAGGTCTCTTTTTCTGGAAAAAAAACTGGCAGAAAATTATTATTTCTGCGGCTTCTCATCACCTGTCATTTTAATTCAGTACCCAAATCAAACTCAAAGAGCTTCAAAAACTCAATTGAACCAATACATTTACTAGATATTCTCTTATGAACTCAATTGCAACTCACTTCAACATAATTATATATTAAACAAAAACCATGATATCCATAAGTTATATAATACATTCCAACGTTATCATGTATTCACAAAACAAATAATTCCCATCACAAAATTATAAAGTTAACAAAATGATCCATAAGTTAACTATCACAAGTCTAAACTTCACTAATGTGGTAGTGTGTTTGCCACATAATCATCACTTTCTTCATCACTACTCTCATGGGTCATATTTCTTTGTTGACCATACATTGGATATTGAGTAGGTTGAGATTGAGGAGGTCGAGGAGGGAAAGTGACATCACCAGAACAAGGGGGAATCCCTCCTGAGGAAAGTAATGCATCGAATTGAGCCTTAAGACCCGCAAACTGTAATTCCAACCGCCTTTCCCTAGCCCGTGATTCTTCGGCTTGGCTAGATAGCTCAACAATCTTTTCTCCATAGCCAAATTTTTCTTCATTGATTCATCATGATTTGAACTATTTAGGCCTTCAAACTCAGAGGAAAATTCACGAAAGGTTTTATGCAGCATTCCATATGCATACCCATATCTACTCGGCCCACAAGTCAAGTCTAACCAAACTCTCTCATCCTGTTCTTGAGTAAGTGGCATACCTCAATTTTCTTCAGGCAGAGTTTGTTGTAAATCCTCCAAAGCTTGAAGATATCGATTCTAAATTGAATGTTATCATATGAGAATATAAATTTAGAAATAAGTAATTATAAAAATATTAATAGTTAAATATTTACCTCTCAAAAGGATACATCCATCTATATTGAATCGGACCTCCAAGGCGTGCTTCATGCACTAGATGTACAGTAAGATGCTCCATAACATCGAAAAATCCAGGTGGAAGAATCTTCTCCAATTTATTCGTAATTACAGGAATATTTTGATCCATCTGAACTAGGTTGTCTTCCCTTAACGTATTAGAACACAAGTCCTTGAAGAACAAACTGATTTCAGTCATAGGTTTCCAAATTTTATCAGGCAAGCCACTAAATGCAACGGGGAGTAATGTTTCCATGAAGACATGACAATCATGACTTTTCATACAATGTAATTTTCCATGCTCCATATCAACACATTTTCCTAAATTTGAAGCATGTCCAGCAGGCATCTTAAGTTGCTCGACCCATTCACAAATTTTACGCTTTTGATCCCTTGTAAATGAATAACTAGCCTTAGGCTTGAAGAACTTGTTGTTCTGTTTCTCTTGCAACCATAACTCTTTTCGCCTGCAATATTCAGGTAAGTCCATTCTAGCTTTAACACTATCTTTTGTCTTGCCAGTGACATCCATTACTGTGTTAAATAAATTATCAAAGTAATTTTTTTCAATATGCATGACATCAAGATTATGTCAAAGAAGATTGTCCTTCCAATACGGTAACTCCCAGAATATGCTTTGTTTTGTCCAGTTATGTGCAACACCATATCCATCAAATTTATAGGGTTGTTCTTTTGCGACCTTTGGAAAGTTTTGAACCCTCTCCCAAACTTGTTCTCCAGTTAAGATTGGAGGAGGATAACCTTGTTCAACAGAATTCTTTCTGAATGCATTTTTCATACTCCTAAACACATGATCCATTGGCAAGAACTGTCGATGACAGTCAAACCAAGAATTTTTACGACCATGTTTCAAAGTGAGTGATTTAGTATTTTCCATACAATAAGGACAAGCTAACTTTCCCGCTGTCATCCACCCTGACAACATTCCATATGCTGGAAAATCATTAATAGTCCACATTAAGGCAGCCCGCAAATTAAAATTCTGCTTAAGAGACACATCAAATGTTCAAACCCCTTGAACCCACAATTGTTTCAACTCATCAATCAAAGGTTGCAAGTATACATCAATCAATACTTTTGGATTCTGAGGGCCAGGAATGACACAATTGAGAAATATATATGGACTGGTCATACACATCTCGGGTGGAAGATTATATGGTGTTACAAATACAGGCCAACGAGAATATGGTGCAGCAGAAACAGAATGTGGCGTGAATCCATCTGAACATAAACCCAATCTAATGTTACGTGGTTCAGCTGCAAATAGTGGATATGTTCTATCAAAATGCTTCCAAGCCTCTCCATCGGATGGATGACACATAACTCCAGGTGGTCTTCTATGTTCATGGTGCCATCTCATATGAGGAGCAGATCTATTAGACGCATACAACCTCTTTAACCTTGGTATAAGAGGTAAATAATGCATTGCCTTAATAGGAACTTTCTTCCCACTAGCTGTCTGTTTATAACGACATTTTCCACAAAACTTACACGATTCTAGATCAATATCATCCTTATAGTATAACATGCAACCATTTTCACAACAATGAATTCTCATCGATGACATTCCTAACTTTGATACCAACCTCTTTGCCTTATAGAAATTATCAGGTATCGCAAGATTTGGGTCAACTAAATCATGAATAAGGTCAGTCACAGAGTCCATTGCCCCTTGAGGAACACTCCAATCTGATTTGATACTTAATAATCTAACCGCAATAGACAACTGTGAGTGTGGACTCCCCTCATATAAAGGCCGACTAGCAGATTCCAATTGTTCAAATAAAATTTTACATTCAACATTAGGAGCTTCTTCACCTTGATTAGCAAAATAAAAATCAGAATGCACACCAAAAGCATCTTGAACCATGTCATCAATTCTATAATTTTGTGCATTAGAATTCACATTGCTACTACTTTCACCAGGAACATAATGTTGGAATACATCAAAGTTATTATCAATTACTAGTCCACACAGTGTATTCTTTTTTAAACCTATTTCGATAGATATGAAGTTCAACAGCATCTGGTTTTTCATAATTCAAACATTGACATTTATTACAAGGACACTTAATCATACCACTACGTTGAAAAGGATCTAATGTCTTTGCATACTCCACAAAACCAATGACCCCTTCTACAAATTCAGGTCTTAGCACCATTCGACCAAAATTAGTCATATTATACATCCAACTACGATCCATCTACATAAGAATCATAAATTAAATTTGTCAAGCACTAACACAATAGTTACAAATTTAACTTATTAACCAACTTAACAAATTTCTAAGTCTAATTAGTCTAGTTTTAAATAAATTCTAATACTATAGTAACAAGTTTAACTTATTAACTAACTTAACAAATTTCTAAGTTTAATTAGTTTAGTTTAACTTAATACTAACACGATAGTTACAAACTTAAAGCTAAGTGTCAACACTAGATGGACACAAATTGATTTTCAAAAGAAAATCAATTTTGTCATCAATAGGATCAACTAGTGTTGGTACTTATGCTTAACAAATAATTATATCTAAAATTTAAAGCTAAGTGTCAACACTAGATGGACACAAATTGATTTTCAAAAGAAAATCAATTTTGTCATCAATAGGATCAACTAGTGTTGGTACTTATGCTTAACAAATAATTATATCTAAAATTTAAAGCTAAGTGTCAACACTAGATGGAAACAAATTGATTTTCAAAAGAAAATCAATTTTTTCATCAATAGGATCAACTAGTGTTGGTACTTATGCTTAACAAATAATTATATCTAAAATTTAAAGCTAAGTGTCAACACTAGATGGACACAAATTGATTTTCAAAAGAAAATCAATTTTGTCATCAATAGGATCAACTAGTGTTGGTATTTATGCTTAACAAATAATTATATCTAAAATTTAAAGCTAAGTGTCAACACTAGATGGACACAAATTGATTTTCAAAAGAAAATCAACTTTGTCATCAATAGGATCAACTAGTGTTGGTACTTATGCTTAACAAATAATTATTTCTAAAATTTAAAGCTAAGTGTCAACACTAGATGGACACAAATTGATTTTCAAAAGAAAATCAATTTTGTCATCAATAGGATCAACTAGTGTTGGTTGTTAAGCTTAACAAATAATTATTTCTAAATTTAAAGCTAAGTGTCAACACTAGATGGACACAAATTGATTTTCAAAGAAAATCAATTTTGTCATCAATAGGATCAACTAGTGTTGGTACTTATGCTTAAACAAATAAAATATGGATTTAGAATTTGAAACTTACGAGATTTTATAACGATCTCAAATTAATATACATTGTAATACAAATAAAAAGTCCTAATTCACGTGAAACCATAAGTAGTTGTACTATGCGAAGATATTTGCATTTTGTGGCAAACTATACCAAAACTTGGACACAAATGGATGCTATCTACTTCAATGAGAAAAAAATTGCAAGAGAATTCATGGGATTTAATATTTCCTTACCATCCAGAGAAGATAATTATTCATTAGATAAAAAGTTAGAATCTCAACAATAAATATGAATTTGTTATCGTCGCTATGTACTTTGACATCCCATCCAAACTTTCAAATATAAGTTCAATATAGCAAATAATGAAAATGGTTTGTAACATATCACATGAGTCCACAAGGTACAAGGGACGATTCAAAGAAATTCATGCCTTCAACATCTTGTAGCAATATTAAATTACCTATGATTGAAGTTAGAGAGTTGGGTTCAACTATTGAGGTTATTTTAGTTAGTTTCAATACACATTTAGTTTCAATAACCAAAAATAAATAAATTTACCTGGAGATGGAGGTGCCGTGCTGCTGCTGAGGCGCTGCAACTGGCGGCGGCTGGCGAGCTGGTGGCGCGAGACCTGGCGGCGGAGCGAAAAGGTCGATAGAGATCAAGGTTCGACAGAGATAGCGAGGGTCGACAGAGATAGCAATGCGAGAGGGTCGACAGAGAGAGAGAAAGAGAGAGGCGGTCGACGACGAGAAAGAGAGAGGCCGACGACGATCGACGATGAGAAAGAGAGAGGCGGTCGACGATCGACGACGAGAAAGAGGGAGGCGCGCCGTCGACGAGGTCAGTGAGAAAGAGAGAGAGGCGCGCAGTCGTGTAAAAAAATTAAGAGAGGGAAGAAAGAGTTATTTTAATTTTGGCTAGGTTTTTGGTTTTGTCTAAGAGACCTCATGAGGTCTTTAACTTTTTAAATATTCAATTAAATTAAATTATTATTTTTAATTTAACAAGTATAGACCTCATGAGGTCTCTACTTGTTAAATTAAAAATAATAATTTAATTTAATTGATAGTTAAAAAACTAGAGACCTCATGAGGTCTCCAATTTTATGAGAATTAGATTAAAAAATTAAAACTTTTAAATAAGTTAGGTAAAAAAAATTATTCATTAAATTGACCTCACGAGGTCTCTCCTACATTAAAAAAAAATAAAAGATATTAATTTAAATAGAGACCTCATGAAGTCTCTTATTATTGACCTATTTTTGAGGTCTCCATTTTTAGGTCTCTTTTTGGTCTTTTTTTAGTAGTGAGAGCCTTGGTTGATATGGAAAGGGGCAGATAAAATTCCGGTTAAACAATGAAGAAGTGATCTTCAACATTTCTAAGTTCATGAGGCAGAGTGGTGAGCTTCAATTGATATCTTCTATATTCTATAGATTTTAAGAGTCATCTGAGGTACAAATTGATGTCTGGGTGTAGAAGCATTGGCAGCAGTGATCTTGAATTTTGATAGTGAATTTTGGTTGCGGCACTTGATCGAGGTAATGTTCATTTTACACCAAAAAAATTTGAGTTATGTATGCAACATCGCGAATCTCCACCCACAAAATCGTCTATTGAAGAAGATACAAAATTAGAACGTAAGTCTATACCACCTCATCTGAGGTATGTATTCTTAGGAAAATATTACACTTTGTCGGTATTATTGCATCATATTTAAATGTGCATCAAGTTGAGAGTTTGGTGAAAGTGTTAAAAAGGTTCAAAAGAGCTATTGGGTGGACTATTGTGGATATTATTGGGATCCCTCCCTGTATTTTTTCTCATAAAATCCAACTCATGTCCGATCATAAGCCAAGTATTGAGCTTCAGAGACGTCTAAATCAACCTATGCAAGAGGTAGTGAAGAAGTAAATTATTAAGTGGTTGGATGTCGAAGTGATATATCCAATCGCTGATAGTAGTTGGGTATGCCATGTTCAGTGCGTACCTAAGAAAGGGGGAATGATTGTGGTCCCCAATGAGAAAAATGAGCTAGTTCCAATGAGACCGGTGACTGGTTGGAGGGTATGTATGGATTACCAGAAATTAAATGCATGGACCAAAAAAGACCATTTTCCTATGCTCTTCATGGATCAGATGTTGGATAGACTTGCCAGAAAAAGGTGGTACTATTTTCTTGATGGTTATTCGGGGTATAATAATATTTCTATTGCACCGGAAGATCAAGAGAAAACCACCTTTAGTTGTTCATATGGGACCTTTGCATTCAAGAGAATGTTGTTTGGGTTGTGCAATGCACCCGCCACATTCAGAGATGTATGATGTCGATATTCTTTGATATGGTGGAGGACACTATTGAGGTGTTTATGGATGATTTTTTTATGGTTGGTGACTCTTTTGAGCGGTGTTTGAGTAATTTGTCTGAGGTTCTTAAGAGGTGTGAAGACTGCAATCTAGCTGTAAATTGGAAAAAATGTGACTTTATTGTGAAAGAGGGTATTGCATTGGGTCATCTCATTTTAGAGAAGGGTATAGAGGTTGATCGAGCTAAAGTCGAGGTAATAGAGAGATTTCCCTCACCTATCTCTGTCAAAGGTGTGAGAAGCTTTCTTGGGCATGCAGGTTTTTATTGGAGGTTCATCAAGGATTTTTCAAAAATTGCACATCCTTTGTGAAAGTTGATTGAGTAATAGTGTAAACTTTATTTTAATGAATCCTGGCTTAAGGCATTTGGTGAGTTGAAAAAAAAGTTGGTGTCTGCACCTATCATTATTTCGACGGATTAGAGTAAGCCATTTGACGTAATGTGTGATGCTAGTGGGGTTGCTCTTGGTGTGGTATTGGGGCAAACAAGGGACAAAATCCTTCACCCCATTTACTATGCTAGTAAAGCCCTATATAAAGCCCAAAAGAACTTCACCGTGACTGAGCAAGACCTCCTTGCAGTAGTCTTTGATTTTGAGAAATTTCGCTCCTATATGCTTGGCACTTGGGTTATAGTGCATACTAATTATTCTGCTTTAAGATATTTGATGGTAAAGAAGGATGAAACATCAAGATTTATTCGTTGGGTATTAGTATTGCAAGAATTTGACTTTGAAGTGATTGATAGAAAAGGACCGAAAATCAAGTTGTTGATCACTAGTCCCGTTTAGAAGATGAAGCAATGGGAGAGTTGGGGGGATAAAACTAAAACTGATGATACTTTCCCCGATGAGCATGTATTGGTCGCCTCTCAAGACTTTATTCCATGGTTCGCAGATTTTGCGAATTATCTGGCTAGCGATATCATCCCACTGGACTTGTCCTTTCATCAACGGAAAAAATTCATGTATTATGTGAAGAAGTTCTTTTAGGATGATCCATACTTGTATAGGAGTTGCGCCAATGGGCTTATTCGGCGTTGTGTGCCAGAAGTTGAGATGTTGAGTGTTTTGGAGACATGCCATTCTTCACCCGTAGGTGGACATTATAGTGGTATTCGAACCGCTCACAACATCTTGCAATGTGGCTACTATTGGCCAAGTATCCAACAAGATGCTCAAGAGTTTGCTAAGGCATGTGATAGATTCCAAAGAGATGGTGGCATATCAAGAAAGCAAGAGCTCCCTATAAATCCCATTCTTGTAATTGAGTGATTTGATGTGTGGTATTGACTTTATGGGACCTTTTTTGAGTTCTCATGGGATGAAGTACATTCTAGTAGCGGTTGATTATGTGTCTAAATGGGTAAAAGCTATCGCACTCGCAAATAATGAAGGGGGAGTGTCAGCGTGTTCTTGAAAAAGAACGTATTTTCCCGATTTGGCACCCCAAGGGCTATTATTAGTGATGGGGGACCCCAATTTTGCAACAAAGGTATTATAGGGTTCGCCAATGTGGCCGCTCCTTACCATCCTCAAACTAGTGAGCAAGTTTAGGTGCATCAAATAGGG